CCAAAATTCATTGCATGTACTTGTATATTTTTAAGTTTTCGTTTTATAATCAAGGTTTAGATTGGTGATGATAAGCTTCTAAAAATTTTCCTACTGTAGATTCCTCTCCCGCCAGTTGATGAAAGGAAGAAAGTTGTTGAGGATGTCGACAAAGACCGACGTTATGCCATTGATGCTGCACTTGTGCGCATAATGAAGAGTAGGAAAGTTTTGGGTCACCAACAATTAGTTTCAGAGTGTGTTGAGCAGCTGAGCTGCATGTTCAAGGTAACTAAATATAGCATTCATCTTTAGATGTGCCATATAAGAGAACCTTAATAACAGAACAAAACGGATTGCAATCTTGTTGAAAAAGGAGATGTTACCCAGACTGGCAATTGGCATATTTTTTACTAGTCTCTTCTTTTTTGGCCAAAAGGGACTCCAGGATTTAAATCTAATGTTTGGCAAGGAATAATTTAGGAATAATAGTTTAGGATAACTCTTTGTTGTTTGATTCTTGCCCTCTTCAATGGTATTTTTGCTGTGAACTCACATTCGATGTACTAATTACATGTGATATGGAATGTGCAGCCTGACATCAAAGCCATAAAGAAGCGAATGGAAGATCTCATCACTCGAGACTATCTTGAAAGAGATAAGGAAATTCCGAACTTGTTTAGGTACTTGGCCTAGTTGATGTTGGTGGTTATAAACTGAAGTATGGGATGGGTGATTTCTGTCAAGTGGAATTTTAGGCTACAACTTCTTCTGGTGCCCCAGAGCAGGTAAGTGTACAATGTGCTGTTTCCTGTGGTTTCTTTTGAAAATTTTTGAAGATGTCCAAAATTGATTTGATTGTTATCTTCAGGTCCTCATCAGGAAAATAATTGAATTGCATGATAAGTACATGGCCTACGTGACTGACTGTTTTTCAAGCAACACAATATTCCACAAGGTTTGTGATGGAGAATAATGCTAAAATAGTTACTTGGATCTTTTCCATAACTTTATCTTAATGTGCTTTTCAAAAATCCTTCAATAGGCTTTGAAGGAGGCTTTGGAGGTCTTTTGCAACAAAACTGTTGCTGGCGTTTCCAGTGCTGAATTTCTGGCAACTTTCTGCGATAATATCCTCAAGAAAGGCGGAAGTGAGAAATTGGGTGATGAAGCTATTGAAGAAACACTTGAAAAGGTAGCTAAATGAATTTTTTTGTTATCAAACTAATGGTGATTTTTTTTTACTTTGATCTGACAAGCTTTCCTTATTTCTAAAAGTGGTTAAACTTCTTGCGCATATTAGTGATAAAGATCTTTTTGCTGAGTTCTACAGGTAAGACCTCTTTGCTATTCCTTTTTTCATGTTTCAGTTATTATATAGGATGGATTTTTCAATTTCATTTGATGGAATCCTTGAATTTTAATAACATTTGGTACTCAATTTTTCTCTCCAACTCTTTACAGGAAGAAGCTTGCTCGGCGTCTGCTTTTTGACCTGTTTGGAACCATTCCGAATGCTATAAAAGCTGAATTAACTCCGGTGAAAGAAAGAGGAAGAAGACGAGGAAAACGTTTTAGGTTTATCTA